GACCAATGGGTGCGATCATACCAGAACTAATGCACCGGATCCCATCAGAACTCCGCAGTTAAGCGTGCTTGAGCGAGAGTCCCCTTTTTCATTTTTTTTCCTTTTAATTTTCTTCTACTTTCGGAATTTCTTATGGGAAGCAATCGGTTCATGTAAGCATTACGTCTTAGTATGGCTGCGAATGAACAACATGTTCGATGAACGGATCATGAACAAGCTGGATCAAAGGCCGTTTATGTTCGCCCGGTAAGGTTTCCAAAGAGAAATAAATTTTTCTTCTTCTTTCAAAAACTTTTTGGGTAGTCATCGGTTGAAGTAAGTATTAAGTCTTAGTACGTATGACGTATACGATCATATGTTGGCAACAATGCACCGGATCCAATGAGATGTGGCTTGTATAGATTTATCATGCAAAGACCAATGGGTGTGATCATACCAACACTAATGCACAGGATCCCATTAGAACTCCGCAATTAAGCGTGCTTGGTCGAGAGTAGTACTAGGATGGGTGACCTCCTGGTACGTCCTCGATTTGCACCTCTTTTTCATTTTTTTTTCTTTTAGTTTTCTTCTACTTTTGGAATTTCTTATGGGAAGCAATCGGTTCATGTAAGCATTAAGTCTTAGTATGGCTGCGAATGAACAACATGTTCGATGAACGGCACGTGAACAAGCTGGATCAAAGGCCGTTTATGTTCGCTCGGTAAGGTTTCCAAAGAGAAATAAATTTTACTTTCTTCTTTCGAAATCAATTTTTTGGGTAGTCATCGGTTGAAGTAAGTATTAAGTCTTAGTACGTATGACGTATACGATCATATGTTGGCAACAATGCACCGGATCCAATGAGATGTGGCTTCAATAGATTTATCATGCAAAGACCAATGGGTGCGATCATACCAACACAAATGCACCGGATCCCATCAGAACTCCGCAGTTAAGCGTGCTTGGGCAAGAGTAGTACTAGGATGGTTGACCTCCTGGGAATTCCTCTTGTTGCACCCCTTTTTCATTTTTTTTCTTTTAATTTCCTTCTACTTTCGGAATTTCTTATGGGAAGCAATCGGTTCATGTAATCATTACGTCTTAGTATGGCTGCGAATGAACAACATGTTCGATGAACAGGCACGTGAATAAGCTGGATCAAAGGCCGTTTATGTTCGCTCGGTAAGGTTTCCAAAGAGAAATAAATTTTTCTTCTTCTTTCGAGAACTTTTTGGGTAGTCATCGGTTCAAGTAAGTATTAAGTCTTAGTACGTATGACGTATACGATCATATGTTGGCAACAATGCACCGGATCCAATGAGATGTGGCTTGTATAGATTTATCATGCAAAGACCAATGGGTGCGATCATACCAGCACTAATGCACCGGATCCCATCAGAATTCCGCAGTAAAGCGTGCTTGGGCGAG